ACTTAACCTCTTAATATTAAGCTGGTAAAATAATAAAAGGATGACAGTTGTAGGCACTAACATGCATTTATTTCCCGTTATGATCTTTTTTTATTGAAAAAAATAACTAGTAACGTAACTAGTTTACCACATAACTATTTAGTTAATTAAGAGGTTAACTAGTTACGTTACTAGTTAACCTCTTAATTAACTAGTTAGTTATATGGTTATCTGGTGGCAGAAATATGCCACCATAGGTTTCCTATAAGCTTCCTTGTTAACCGAAAAAAATGAAGTCAAGTGACGTTTATAGTGTGATGCACAGGCTCCCGGTCCAGCTATATAATTAGCTGACTGTGATCACTCATGGTTCTCTTGCGGGTACCGCCGATACGCCGATATCATCTATAAACTGCGGACTTCCGTTTACGAGATAAAATCAAAGTTTTATATACAGCATTATCTTTGCAACATACGTTATCATAAGAATAGAATTTAAATATGTATAAGGCAAATTAATCTCAAAGAAATGATAATAATTATTGTTAACGAATAGCGGTAAATCGTAATGCGGTTGCAAAAAAATGTGCAATTTTTCATTGTAAATCAATGCATAATGCGTCATGTTTCATAGTTAAAGGGAGATAATTATACTGACGTTAAAAAGTCTACAGATCAGAAATGGCTAACACTTTCTAACACTACTGCGAATTCTTGTTCATTTGTTGTTTTTATGAATGTTGATGTACGTATTTACTTAAACTTATTATCCGCCACAATGCCGTCTCATCATACAAGAGCTCCACATTTGTGCAAAATATGTTTCAAAATCACTTGATACATGACAGGGTTTATGTTCAGTCAACATTTTCTTACTGCTGACCTTAGACCTATCAGTGCGACCTTGATCTTGAGCTAGAGTTACAGGTTTTGTTCATGACACACTGTTTCGCCATGCTTAATATTTGTGCCAATTTGTAGAACCCCCATATGCATTGCAGTGTTATGAGCCGGACACGGCTTTCTAACTATTACCCTATGACCTCTAAGTGTGACATTGGCCATGGAGCTAGGGGTGTAGGTCTTACAAATGAAATATCGTCTCATCATACTACATATTTGTGCCAAATTTGTTCAAAATTCCTGGATGCATGATAGTGTTTTAGCCCGGGGAATATTTTCGAAATGCTGACCGTAGACCTCTAAGTGCGACCTTGACCTTGAGGCTAGGGGTCTAGGATTTGTGCATGACACACTGTCTCACCATACTTAAGATTTGTGCAAATATGTTTAACATCCGTTTATGCAGACTACATCAGACTACACGTTTATTTCAAAATGGATCAAAATTCCTGTAAGCATGACAAAGTTATGGGCCTGACAAGGTTTTCGAACACAGTGACACGAACACACACACACACACATGGACAGGGTATGTAATATTACATGTATATACCCCCTTGTCATTATTATAGCCGGGACATAAGATAAAATATGCAGATTTTAATTGATTAGAGTATTATCATACGTTCATAGTTTGATGTTACCTATTAAAGATGCAAGATTTCTCATGAATAAAAATTACAACACTGAACTGAAGTACGGGCAACCTTTTACAGCTACAACGCAACAGTTAACACGTTTGTTTGTAAAAAGGGAGAGCTCTCGCGAGAAATAAAACAATAGTGAAGATTGGAAACTCATGTTCATGATAGGTAATGACAGGTGTAACTTTTCTTACCATCCCCGCTCACCCCCTTACTCCCTCGCACCACTCCCTCACACCACAACCCACTACTCCACACCCCATACTAACACCAACACCCGGTTAAGCTGTATGCACTTTTCAACACTAGAGTATTACAACCAATGATCCCAAAGGTCTATTATACAGGACTTCTATAATTATATAATTTGCTTTCGTCCAGGTATGACTAAATACAATGCTGTTGAATAGATGCAAATTACATGTTCAGGACTGGTCGATCTTTCACGTGTATCATTGCATAATAATGATGGTTTTTAATAATGTGGTCATAATATTTTCAAAAGCTTGCTGTTTTTATTCGTTTACGTACCACTTAACTGAATTCATATGCAATTTTGATTTTTTATTTGAAGAAAATGTCACTGGCCTGAAGAAAAGTTTAGTTTACTTACCATATGCTCATAAAATCGGGGGTAAAAATGGAAGTCAAGGGATGTTTATAGTTGCTGCAGAGAGTCATACCGGTTGATGCAGTTGCTTAACATGCAATTCCCCTGCACCCTGAATACACTTGCGAAGTACGCAAAGTATCCTGCCAGCACAGGCTTTAGCTCCGTACTGTACCACTGGGATGGCGCCCTCATCCCAACCGCAGATACTCTTATATCTTGCGGATACCACCATAGATAACATCTATGAAACCGGCTTCCTTGAGCAACTCTGTACGCAAATCTATAAACTGCGGACTCCCGTGATAAACATAAGAAAATCACAGTTTTATATACAGCATTATCTTTGCAACATACGTTATTATTATAATAGAATTTTAATATGTACATGTTAAATTAATTTCAAAGAAATCCCAATGTTGATTGTTAAGGAATAGCACTTAATCGTGATGCCATTGCAAAAATATGTACTTATTTATTGTAAATCAATGCATAATGCGTCTCGTCTTATAGTTAAAGGGAGATAATTATACTGGAATAACTGACGTTAAAAAAATCTGCAACATAAATGGCTATCTCTTTCTAACACCGCTGTGAATTCTTGTTTTTTTTCTATTTACTTTTCTGTGTACGAAGCAATACTAGATCACCAGCTTCTAAAATGCAATGTAATTTTGACTCCAACGTAAACATATTGCACCAAAATATGACTGGAAATATTAACAAAGATGCCTTATAAACTATTAATATTTAGCGCCCAGCTTTGGGTTGAGAAACAAATTCAACGTGCTTGATAGGCAGGGATATAGATCGAGCAGACGACCACCATTCCCCAGAATTGTCGCTCTTCCATCAAGTTTACACATTATACAATCTGCTACATAATAATGTTGTCCTTTTTACAATATATGTTCTTCATAATCGCGGACTACTTTAGCATTCATATGATTTCGATATATTTAAAAATTCAATGTAATAAAGAAAAAATAACCGACAATATAAGCTTAAGACAAAGAGGCACAGATAGAACTTAACGTTACTGTGTATAACAAGATATGTTTGTAAAACATGTATGCCCCCTATCGGCAGCCAATTAGTCATGTGATCAGGTTATTATGCATGACTTCTGACCCAGTGAAACAATTAATAAGGCTTATCTAGTATCTACTGGTCATGACTAGCGACAAGGTAATAATTATTGTGACCCCATAGGTTGTGTGCAGCAATTTAAGTTATTACAAATCTTACCAAATAATATATGCATAAATGTTATAAATCATGTAGGCCTCATTAATGACAGCCAAGTTGTTATATTACATAAGACCTTCAAATGTGTATACCAAAAGCATTTTTAGTTTATGAGTTATTGGTCAGAAACCGTCATTAAGTACAAGGTCAATATGACAGTGACCCCTTGACCCAAAAATCAATAAGGCTCATCTACTGGTCATGACCAATCATCATACCAAGTTTGAAGTTCCTAGGCCTAAGCGTTCTTTAGTTATTGATCGGAAACCGTTTTTACCTACAAGGTCAATGTGACCTTGACCTTTGACCCATTGACCCCAAAATCAATAGGGGTTATCTGCTGGTCATGACCAATCACCATAACAAGTTTGAAGTTCCTAGGCCTAAGCATCTTTAGTTATTGATCGGAAACCATTTTTACCTACAAGGTCAATGTGACCTTGATCTTTGACCCCTTGACCCCAAAATCAATAGGGGTCATCTGCTGGTCATGACTAATCATCATACCAAGTTTGCAGTTCCTAGGCCTAAGCGTTCTTTAGTTATTGATCGGAAACCGTTTTTACCTTCAAGGTCAATGTGACCTTGACCTTTGACCCCTTGACCAAAAATCAATAGTGGTCATCTGCTGGTCATGACCAATCACCATACCAAGTTTGAAGTTCCTAGGCCTAAGCGTTCTTTAGTTATTGATCGGAAACCGTTTTTACTTACAAGGTCAATGTGACCTTTGACCCCTTGACCCAAAAATCTATAGGGGTCATCTACTGGTCATGGCCAATCACCATACCAAGTTTGAAGTTCCTAGGCCTAAGGGTTCTTTAGTTATCACTCGGAAACCATTTGGTCTACGGACCGACGGACCGACAGACAGACAAATGATACCCCCTCGTCTTTGTAGTTGGGGCATAATAATCGATATGATCTGTTCAATAAAAAAATATGCAAAAATTATTGATTGAATTAAGAAAGGAATGATTCAAAAATAATTGTATAAGAGAATTATGGTAGTAAATTGCATTAAAGCAAACGGTGCATGTAAAAAATCATTGGGATAAGTCCCAACTTAAAATAGCAGAATGATGTTTTATTCCAGAACATTTATTTTTTTAATGTACAATATCTATGCGTGTTAAATATCTGAGACATATTATGTGCATCGATTATGGAGACAATATAATTTTATTGTTGATAAAATAAATAAAAATATCTCATAAGATATAACTTTATATACCATTTGATCTATAAAACGACCAATCTTGTTATTATTAAAGTGACTTATACCCATCCAAGAGAAGAAAATGAAGAAAAGAAGAAGTTTACATGTTGCCACAATTTCTTTTAATTTTGTAATTTACTGCTTTGCATGAACGATAAAAAATTCACATGGTCCACGGAAGATTCTGTAAAAATCTATTGAAATTCAATTTATGAAAGGAACAGGGCGATCTTTTTATAACTTAGACAGACTTATATTTTATTCTAAACATTTAGCCAATTACCATTTTAACAGTCAAGTTTTTGAAATACATGTACATAGTCAATTCAGCTCAACTTGAACATGGAAAAAATAGCATAATGTCACTTAAATTTCAAATATAGATACAAGAACTTACATGTTTGACAAATGTCTTCAGTTTGTCTTTACCGACACCAGCTTCGCCATTTCTGTTTTTATCCGTTGCTATATTATCAGTACCAGCATCTCTTAATCTAATTATAGTCTCCTTCTCGTTCGTCATGTCCATCTCGTACATGTTGTGGTCAGTTTTATTCTCTGATACACACACCCCGCCACAAACAGACATGTCGTCTGATCTATTCTAAACGAGTTGTTTTTTATCAGCATGTTATAATCTGTATATTTATACTGGCTTTTAAATGTTGGTAATTATTCAAGAAATTGAAAAGCGGACTATCAGCGTTATCATGGTTTGTCAACAAACGTTCATGCCATTTAATTCGAAACATGTTTGAATTATAAGGGTACATGTAAGTTTTTTAACGTACACTTGCGGTAAATAAAGATTAAAGATTTTAGATATTTTATCAATCAAGTTGAAACAAATTTTTTACTTCTTTCACATATATGTACATATATACCAACCTATTGTCATCACATCAGCGCACTGATCACAATCTTATATTTTATTTTTTTTTTTAGGGAATTGAATAAAATCTTCTTCTTTGTTTAGACAATATTAAGTTTATTTTTGTTCTTTATCAAGTATACATAAAGTTCTGTTTTGCCATTTAGATATTTGGAAATTCTTTCACGTTATCTCTGTTGTATTAAGGTTCTTTGTTTAGTGAACATGCTGTATAAGAGATATCGTACAAATTGATTAATCAATATCGATTTTCAATTTCATTGATCATTTTTTTATACAAAACAAAGAATGCAAAATATTTGAACTTTTATGCAACTTATAAGAAAACGTTTTTTTTTCTTTTACAAATTGAAGGATTCTCATTTTAAAACAAAAACGTTCCCTTTTTTTTATTACGAATTCATTTTTTTAAAGTTTTAAGTTAGATAAAGTTACAACAAAAGTTGACATTATGTTTTATTGAGAACTTTTTCAAGAGACCGTTTTGGGCAATAATACCCATCACCAAAGACATAAAAAATGGTTTCCATATACATGTAGTTCTTGCTAATAAATCTATCACATACTCATTTACTGCTGTCACAGATTTACTTATCTTGATTAACAATGAAAAGTAAATATGTACGAATGTTTTAATTGTGATTTTACCAACTTACAGGCTATTTTTTTGGCAGACTCGGAAGTATAAAAGGAAGATCAGCGTGTAGATTGCTGCAATATGACTTGTAGAGTGTCACCCCATTAATATATTACATGCACTTGAGTGTTACCAGTAAGTGGGGGTTTGGGGTGGACAGAGGGTTGGATCAAATGCATATACTCAAAATTTTAATCAATCAGATTTTAATAACATATTGATTGATATTAGGGATGTATTTCCTAGCGGACATCAGTAAATGTGTAGGTAAAAAATGACAACCACAACCTAATGTGAAATATTTTTCTGACTTTTGCATTGAAGAACTATATGATTGAGACCTTCTAGTAATGCTGTTAAATCTGTTAACCCTCTTGTTTGATTTGTTCTTAAACTTGACACAATTAATGTAAAAGTATAAATACCATTGGTAAATTTTTTAGTTCAATTTTGATTATACTAATCACCTATACGCTGTTTTTCAGCTGTTTCAGAACATCCACATTCACAGAACAACACTTATATTTTTTATATATTGTACATATTGTACGTACAAGGGATGACGGGGTCTTATTTTCAAAGCAAAATTGTTAACATGTGTTTCAAAAACTCAAAAGGAGTCTTAGAAGTTACACAATTAATAAAATAATAACAAATATCTTAAGCTTAAGAAAACTTAACATTTTATAAACAAAATATTTTCTAATACCCTTAAACTTGTGCATGCTTTAGCACGTTCGGTGTTAAGAAGTTGCAACGTTTCGTACCAGTTATATCGACGAGGAAACAAGACAATTCACCCCATACGCTTCATTCCTAAAATTTCTAAGACACTTCGCTCCACAAGACATTTTACCCCTCCGTCTGAAAAATAAGTGAGACACTTTACCCCTCATCACTTACGGGGATGTCCGGGGGTGATCTTTCTTTCTTTCTTTCTTTCTTTCTTTCTTTCTTTCTTTCCTTCCTTCCTTCCTTCCTTCCTTCCTTCCTTCCTTCCTTCCTTCCTTCCTTCTTTCTTTCTTTCCTTCCTTCCTTCCTTCCTTCCTTCTTTCTTTCTTTCCTTCTTTCCTTCCTTCCTTCCATCCTTCCTTCCTTCCTTTCCTTCATTCCTTCATTCCTTTCCTTCCTTCCTTCCTTCTTTTTCTTTTTTTCTTTCTTTCTTTCGTTCGTTCCTTCCTTCCTTCCTTCCTTCCTTCTTTCTTTTTATTTCTTTCTTTCTTTCCTTCCTTCTTGCTTGCTTTCTTTCTTTCCTTCCTTCCTTTCCTTCCTTCCTCCCTTCCTTCCCTTCCTTCCCTTCCTTCCTTCCTTCCTTCCTTCCTTCCTTCCTTCCTTCCTTCCTTCCTTCCTTCCTTCCTTCTTTCTTTCTTTCTTTCTTTCTTCCTTTCGTTCCTTCCTTCCTTCGTTCGTTCGTTCCTTCCTTCTTGCTTTCTTTCTTTCTTTCTTTCTTTTTTTCTTTCTTTCTTAAACGTGTGTTTTAATAAACGATACGACCGCATTACTTGTTTTATGTATATTGGGAAATAAAGGGACGCGTTTTTTCCTCCGATGAAAAAATTTTTTTGATACACATGTTAACATGATACAGCTAAAAACAACACTTGATATTGCTTAATGGGACATCATTTAAATAATTGCAACCTTTTTATTTCCCATCCCTAACATGTGTACAGTTTGCTATGGGACGCAACTCCTGTAGTCTTATACCATACACTCAAGAGTTATCTCCCACAGCGTTTGTTTGCTTAAGTAAGTACTAAGGAGTTCTTCAATTCATAAACGATTTTTTATTATGTAAACAAAAATAATAACAATATAATGAAAATATGAAAAAGTCAACCTTTCGGTAAATAATATGTCAGTACAATTCTGTTATTTTAATTCAATGGTTAGTTACTGATTATTTCATTAAAGTTAATGTGTAAACTTACGAAATTGATATAAATTTCAGGTGTATATCACAGAAATTTCCAATAAAACTATCTTTAGAATGATGGAAACAGCGACTTACCACCCCACCCCCACCCACATGCCTCTGTGATAAGTTACTTGTCATTTCCGAGGACTGCAGCAACTCTGTTTGATGGCCAAAAATTCACGACTGTCCCTGTATAGCACCGCTAGCTTTAGATGTCAACACAAGTTTTTATTTAAAGCAGCATGTCAATTAGAGGTAAAATATTCTGATGTGAACAAAGAAAATAATTTACACATTGCAAACAGCACTTACAATCCGCTGAAAGTACCAAAAAGAAGTCAAAAAATGCATAAATACCCTTACAGCGTGAGTAACGCAGTAGAAATGTGGTGAAAAAAATACTGCAAAATCAGTTATTAATCAGTTAATTACATGTAAAGATTTTACCATTATTTGTATACTCACAATTTAAAGCAACACGCCTCCAGATATGTCCTAATTTTCATGAAAATTTTTAAAATGTAATATAAAGTAAAATATTGTTAAGTGAACAAAAAATGTAATTGACACATTGCAATCGGCACTTATAATCCACGTAAATTACCAAAAAGAGGTCGAAATATGCAAAAATATCCCCTACTGCGTTACTAACGCAGTAGAGATATGGTGATAAATACTGCAAAAAATAGTCATTAATTGCACGCAAGATATAAATTATCACTTGAATCTTTAATATTTTTACTTTTCTTAAAATCTTAGTACATATTCCTAAAGTTTAATTTTCTTGAAATAATTTTGCTCGTCCGGAGGCATGCAGCTTTAAGCGTTTAGTACATATAAAATAATATTTTGAGAGCTTTTAGATCATGGTCACATTTAAAAAAAGTTAGATAACCACAATAAATAATATATAACAATCTCAGCACCATAATGTTTCAAATTTGCGCAAAGTCTGTATATACATTTGAGTTCTAAAGCAATTTCTTTTCTGTTGTATTCAAATTGGCCGACTCATTTCCTAGTCTAAAATAAGAAAATGAGAAATGAATGTTTCACTGAGCGAAAAGCAGGTGGGACAAAAATAAAATCGAAAAAAACTAAATCACATTAATCAAGGAAATGTCCTTTATTACATTTTCATTACCTGTTTATGACCATGATCACAAACCAAAAAGCTTTGGGTCACTCATTTTTAAAACTATAAAAATAAATCATTCTAAATAAAAAAAAAATGAAAATACATTCATTTATTTTTTTTATTTTTAAATTTCCCCAAACCAGGGCATGACGCATAGTATTAAAAAATTTACTTTTTTAATATTCCAATCAACAATTTTCGGCATATCTCTGCAGTTTGAGCTGATTTTTCTTATATGTTCACACGCATCTGTTGTTAATAAATGAGATTTTAATGTCACTTATTTGCAAAGTAAGCCCTCATGTTATTTCATTTATACATGAGAATTAACTGGATGGATTTTGAAATGAAGGATGTCTCATTTAGTTATCCCAATAGTCTCATCTCCACAATGGCCAATACTATACAGTTTGAATATTCTATAAGTCCATTTATTTTCTGATGTTACAGATCGGAGAAGGTAAAACTATGCAATTTTCAGTACAAAGGTACTTTCGTGTGAACTATATTATTTGAAAGGGGAATCCAAAGAATTTAGTAATTTATTTCATATTTCACAATAATTAACGTTCTTGTTAAAGAATAACGTTGGATTTGTTTCTCTGTCCTTGGTATCATATATATCAAACCTTAATACATTTGAACTGTATATTAAATAAAAGTTTCTTTATGTTGAACATAACAGTTTACAATTTGCATTGAAACTCATTTAATTATTTTTATTGCGTAAAATATTAAATGAAATAAAAAAAGATGTTTCATTTAAAACATATTAATAGTCAAGCGTCATTTCAAAGCCATTATTTAATTTGATTTGATATTGATAATACAAAATGATGATAGACAAACTAAAAGCTAAAACTAAACTCAACTCAACTAAAGTGTGAAAGGTATATTGAGCAATATAAAAAGGAAAAAGTGAAGCACAACCACGGTGACGTTTTTTTGCGAGATAAAATCATGTCGTCCATCACACCACTGTGTCGTCTGCTCAGGGAAATTCCTAAGAGCAGCAACGACATG